CAAGAAGGAGCTTTTCCCTTTACTGGGAAGGCCACAAGCCAGGATGTGGCTAATCCAGCACCAAAATCCTTTTCCCCAGCACCAAAATCCTTATTCCCGTGCAGGACAGGGGCTGTCAATGGCCTGTTACTCCTGAGTACCTCTCTGAGCAACACCCTCTTGGGAGAAGCCAACTTTTCCAACAGATTTGACTTAAAGCCTCCAAAATGCCCAATTTCAATTAGCTTTTCATTAAAAAGCCAGATTCCTCACAGGGTGTGCACAGCCTGACCAAAGTCATGGCCTTCAGGACTTGAAGAATGTCACAGACAACCCAAAAACACCCAAGGCACATGTTCTTACTCTTATTTCTCCATTTGCAGCCTGCCATATTTTCATGGTCCCATCCGTGCTGGTAGACACTCCGAGTCCTCCACCACTGGAAATATCAAGGCAGGTAATCTGCAGGAAGGGAAAAGCACCAAGAATTAGCTTTATATAATTCTGTATAGAAATATTGCTGCTCAAGAGCCTAGTTCTGTTCAGGGGGAGACCAGCTAAGTACATTCTCTGCCTATGGCTCTGCAAAGCAAGGAGAAAAAGGAATGCTGAGGCACAAGCCTGCACAAGCAGCAGGGAGCATGTCCAGGGAAGGTGAACAGAGAGAAGGAGAATTCTCTCACTCAGGTTTTTTCCCAGAGAAGCACAGAGAGAAGAAGAGAAAATAATAGAAGAAGAGAAAATAATTCTTGGCTCTACTTGCTGCTCCTGTTTGCACAGGTGAAATGCATTAGGAAGATTGGCTAAAGAGAGTTCCTAATTGGATTCAGGTGAGAGTTGTTAGCCCATTGAGTCAAAGCTGTGCTCCAGCTAGCTCAAGACACTCATGGGTTTTTCTTTCGTATTCTTTGTAGTATAATATAATATAGTTTTAATAAAACAATTGCTCAGCATTCTAAATCAACAGAATTGATTGGACAGCTTGGACTCTGTGATCTCAAAAGTCTTCTGACATTACGAATTCTGTGGTTCTGTGAGCTGCACTTGCATTGCATTTTTTGAATTGAATTTCCAGGCTGCGGGTGGGGACAAAACAACCCGCTCCAGCGGTAAAACCCACGGACAGGACTAAGAATGCAGCAGGGCTCCAGGCAGGACAGGGTTAAGTTCCCAGCAGCAGCAGGGGCAGGGCCAGCAGGAGGATGTTCCCGCTCCCACCTCTCCGTGCGGCGGCGGGAAAAAGTCCCACGTTTCCCGCTTCCCTTCTCTCCGGCCGGGTCCCCGCGCTCCGTCCCTGTCCCACTGCTGCTCCCAGTGAGTCGCTGCCTTCGTGCTCCGGTTCCCATCCGCAGCCTCGCACCCAGCCCAGCGTGGGAACGCTGAAATCGGGCATACCAGTCCCAAGGCAGCCATCGTGCGGCACCAGGGTCGAGATAAGGACAGCTCTGCCCGCAGCGGGCTGGAAGCAAGTTTGAGCTGAGTGCTTGGGGTGTTAGGTACCGTCGCTGGTCACGATGTGGCTTGGTCAGCTCTTCGTGGCGTGGTACCTGTGCAGGTTTATATTGCCCTGTGTGGTCCTGATAATGCACTTTAACAGCTTAGAGAGATGGTTCAAGATTCTTTTGTCCGTGGACTTTGTGCTAAAAACCTGAGCAGTTATACACCACCTCCAGGAGACCATTAATAATGGTTCCCAGTCCGTGGGGGGAACAGGGGATGAATACTTTCACAACCTTTTCACCTCCTTTAACTCCTTTAAGCCTCTTAAAGCACCTTTTGAGCTGCCTCTGAACACTGAAGAAAGCACATTGTCATTCTGTCTGCTGTGTCTCCCTCTGGTCTACATCACCCTGATGGTCTACTTCATCTTCAGAGTTGCAAAAGAGATTTCTGGGAAGGTCTTCCAGAGAGTGGATCACGATGAGTGGCATGGAAGGTGGGAGAAAATTGGCCAGGTTCTGAAGGAGTATTCAGCTCCAGTGGTTTGGAAGTTCACCCCTCAACAAATACGGGACCCCGTTAAAGTGGCAGAACACCTGAAAGAGAAACGCTGCCGTGGTTCCAGGGAGGAGCAACTTACAGCACTCTGCTGGGCCCTGGCTACTCTGTATCGGGCACTGCTGGATACCAGCTAGCCCCCTCAGGAGCAAGAGGAGGAGAACAGACCAACAAGCAGCGAGGCCACTCAAACTGCAGCCGCACCAGAGGAACAACCCATGCTGGGAGCAGTCGCTCCTGAACAGAACACATCCAATACTGAATTAGTTTCCTTAGTGAGGCGTGAAGATGAAGAGGAGGAAGAGTCCTCAGAAGAAGAGGTAATGAGCGAGCCCTCATGGCAGCTGCAGTTGGTGTGGGGGCTCTTCAGGCGCGGTGCGAATCAGTCCCTGCTGCTGTGGCTGTACGACTGCTGGTTTATAGGGGCAGCGGACGTGTGGCTGCGCAGCTCTGAGGTCCAGCAGCTGGGCCCCCTGTCCCAGGACGCCGCCATCGACGGGGGGCTCGGCAGGAGGCCGGGCAGGCACAGCCTGTGGGCGCGCCTGGTGGGCAGCGTGAGGGCGGCCTACACCGCCGAGCGGCTGCTGCGGCGCAGGGACAGCTGGAGCAGCAGGCTGGAAGGGGCGCAGTACCTGACAGAGCTAGCCATGGCCGACACGCTCTTTGGGAACGCACAGGACAGTCGGTGCCTGGATGACCCGGACAGGGCCTGCTGCACGTGGGACACGTGGCAGGAACTGAGGAGGAGCGCGCCGCCGCTCTACGCCGAGGCGCTGTCGTCCAACACCTGGAGCAGGAACCTGAGGGTGCTCGCATTAAAGGGCTTCATCTGGGACTACAGAGCGAAACCCTGTTCCTACGTGGAAACACAGCCCAGGGAACAGGCAGCCTGCAGCGATGACCAATGCTCGATATGCCACGAGAAGCTGGGCAGGAGCTCGTGTGAACTGGAGTGCGGCCATGAGTTCCACAGGGAGTGCATCAGGACGTGGCTCCTGGAACATTCCAGCACCTGCCCCATCTGCCGTGAGCACGCTGTCCTGCCTGCTGTCCAGCCTTACAAAGCCAGGCCTTGCCAAAGATCAGGCATTTAGAAGAGCTCCCAAGGAAAATGCTGAACACACCAAGGTTTTGAAGAATGGACTGGATTGATTTCATAAGGCTCCAAGTACAAGTGAAAAAATGGCAGCAGGAGAAGAAAACTCAGAAGAATTTAAAAGTCAGCTAAAGAAGCCGCTGGATACCAATGAGAGAGATTGGAAGCCCACTGGTGACAAGGAAGAGCAGTACAATGGATATAAACTCATATTCTGAGACATTTAGGAGGGACTGCCTGTGATGAAGGGAATGATTCCTGTGCTTTTGTGTGTGTAGATGTGGTTGGGTGGCCTGGGATCTGGGCATAAGTAGATGGGATAGAATGAGGGGTGGGGAATGTCCTGGTTCTGGCCAGGACAGGGTTACTTTTTACACGTGCAGGGAGGAGCACATTTGGGATATTTGGTTGCACAGGTTCCTTGTGGTGAGCAGAGGTCTTCCCTGTCCTGTACACTTTATTAATTAATGCTGTTGCTACTGTTGCTTTCTTAAACTCCATTGCTATTCTCAGTAAATTGTTTTATCTCAACCCCGATCTTTGTCTTTTGTGCCTCCAATCCCCATGTCCATCCCACTGAAGGGGGAAGGAGTCAGTGGCTTGTGGTCCAGGGTGTTTCAGTGGGAACACCATCCCTAAAACCCCAAGTTCCATCTCCACTGCAACCCCTCACATGCAGATCCACACTCCAGGCCAGCCCTCACTGTGAGGACACCAGAGACAGGGATGTGAGAGTTGCCAGCCACACCCAGAGACTCCCACCCAACAGAGCTACTCACACTTTTCTGATGAATCCTGCAAAAACTCGTGTATGGAGCCAGGAACTTTGTGGACACATTTTCATGAGGACAAGAAATGAGGATGCTTTTCTAGGAGGGGAAATAAGGAAAAAAAGCAATTAGGAGTGCTATTAGTCCTGAAACAGAGGTTGCCGAGGTAGAACTGTGGACTGGACCCAGCTGTGGGATCCCAGAGTTTGAAAATGGATGGGAGGGTCAGTGTGGGGCTCATGGCCTCAGGATGCAGGCAGGGGCCAGCTCCAGGGCCCTGCACAGCAGGACAGGACTGTGCAGGGCAGGGTGACAGCCTAGGCTGTCAGAGCAGCCCCTTTATGTACAGGGAATGTCCCCAACCCCTCTCTCCCCAGCCCTGGCACCTTGGTGACTTCCCCGACCACGAATCCCTCGGAGGCCACGATGTCTGGGACGCCGTCGGAGCTGAGCCCGCGCCGGGTGACGCTGCCATACAGGGTGGCCTTCCCTGGGGACAGCAGCCATCAGCCCCAGCGCTCACAGGGACCCCACACACCCCTCTCAACTCAGAGGGACCCCAATCTCCCTCACCCGCAAGGAATTCAGACACCCCCATCCCCTTCTAACCCCCTCAGGACCCCTAAATGACCCCGCAACCTTTAAAATCAAAGGGATCCCCAAACCACCCCAGTCCCTTTAAATTAAGGGACAGCAGCACACCCCAGCAGCCCCATTCCCTGCTAACACACATCCCACCCCTATCCCAAAGGATCCCCCGGGCACCCCCATCCGTTTCTGCTCTTTGAACACCCCTCTCGATCCTCCCTGATCCCGTCTCACCCTCACGCCTCCCTCGAGGCCTCTTCAGGCCACTCACCGGGGCTGCGGCAGCTCAGCCACGCCTCGCCTTCGTCCCTGCTGCAGAGAGAAGGGGCGGTGAGTGAGGCAGGGAGCGGGACAAGGACAGGGACAAAGAAAGGGACCGTTCCCACCTCAGCGCCCGGCTCCAGTCGCTCTGGATCCGCAGCGTCGCCGCCATCTTTGCCGAGGTAACCGCACACACTTCCGCCTCCTTGCTTCCCGTCGACCCCCGCGCGAGCGGAAAGGGGAGAAACCAGCCAATCAGCGAGCGCCGCCGCGGCCGTGCTACAACCCGGAAGCGCGGCCGTGCTATATCCCGCCTTAAAGGGACCGCGCTGCGCTGGTACGGGGGCTAAGGCATGGATGGGGAGGGAGGGGATCGTGGAGGGGGGGCTGGAAATTCCTGGGGATGGGGACCCTCGGGAGGGGAGGAGGGCGCTGGGCACGCGGGGCTGGGGTGAGGTGCCCCCGAAGGACACGGCCGCCTGTCCCGCCCGCAGCGCCCCATGGCGAGGCCCGGGCACGGCTGGAGCGGCGCGGCGGCGGCGAAGCGGGGCTCGGAGGAGGAGGAGGAGGGCGAGGACCCGCTGGACGCCAGGATCGCGCGGAGCGGCTGCCTGGAGCAGCACCGGCAGCTGCAGGAGTGCATGGCCGAGCGGCGGGACTGGCGGCACTGCCAGGAGCAGGTCCGCGCCTTCGGAGCCTGCATGGCCCGGCGGCAGCAGCAGCGCGGCACCGGCCCGGCCCGGCCCCCGGACTGACACCCCCGGACAGACAGACCCCTCTCCGGCTTGCTTTTTGTCCAACTCCTTAAAAACCCAGGTGGAATTGCTGGGAAATAAACCTGGAGTTTGGCAGCCCTCGGCTTGCTGTGTGCCAGTGGGAGAGGGGGGCTGGTTTGGAGCAGACAGCATCGAGCTGTGCCATGATACACTCAGGTGGGACATCAGCAGGAATTCCCTCATGGAAAGGGGATTTCACCATTTGTAGGGACTGCCCAGACAGGTTTGGAATCCCCAAGTATGACTGGACATGGCACTCAGCCCTCTAGGCTGGTGACTGGGCATAGCTTGGACCGAATGATTCCAGAGGTCTTCTCCAAGCAAAATGATTCTGTGGTTGTGAATTCCCAGCCCAAAATGTCCCCATCCAGGAGCATTCACAGCACTCAGGCTGGGTCTTGGCTCCAGAACAGCCTTGCCATGGATTTTACTCCATGTCCTCTGTGCCATCCTAAGGCTTTCCCCAGCAGTGATAACCTCACAGGATGAGATTTATCTCCTGGGAAGCCACAGAAAAAAATAGCAATGGGAGAAAAATGGATCCTCATCTGACCACCAGCTGCTGGCAAATAAGCCACGAGAAAGAAAATAAAATTGCTTTCTGCATGGCTTTTGTCAGAAGGAAGGTTGCAGGCTATTTCCCAGGGATGTAGGTGCTGGGAATACCAAGAGGCTGGGAATGGAAGCACAAGCAACACCTGGACAGCCCCAGTGTGGAGGAAGAGTGTAAATAAATGAATTATTTTCCCTCTTTTTCACAAGCTGGTCTTTAGAAAGGGATAAAAAAAAAGCCTCCAAACAAACCAACCAGTTTCTGGAACAGTTTCTCTTGGCATCCATCAAATTTGGTTATAACAATTCCTGGGATTGTTGCAGCACAGCAATATTCATGCACAGAGATTTCTGCAGAAATTCCCACCTATCAAAAGCAAAATAGGCAGGAATTAAAAAAGAAATTAAATAAAAAAGGAAGGAAAGCAAACCCACATTTCGTTGTGGCACCCTTGCTCCCAGTACAAACCAGTGAGATATAAACACATAGTTTATTTTTACTGAGCCAAGCTGGTTGCCAACAGTGGGAATTCCTCCCAGTTCACAGAGTTACCAGGACAGAGCTCATGGAGGCACCCTCTGGAGGCTGGAGCAGCCCCTGGATGGCAGCACACTGCTCCTCACCTCAGGACATTTCTGCCAGCAGCTCCTCCAGCTCTGGTCGAGCCTTCAGCCGGCTCTTGAAATCGGCTTCCGTGTGCTGTGGAGAGAGCGAGGGAACACCAGCACAAATCAGGATCACACAGAAGTTCCCTGCTCCCCAAAGGGAAGCACTGGGAAGTGTAACCATACCTGTTTCATCAGCAGGTGCACCCCCTCAGGCTGGCTGCTCTGGATGACCTCCAGCAGGATGGGAGCAAACGTGGAGCTCAAACCACGGATCTGAAAGCAGAAACGACAGAGCTGCAGGAGAACAATCCTAGAGACTCTGGCTTGGAAGGGACATGAGGGATCATCCACTGCCACCCCTGCCATGGGCAGGGACCCTTTCCACTGTCCCAGGTTGTTCCAGCCTGCCCTTGAACACCCCCAGGGATGGAGCACCCCCAGCTTCTCTGGGCGCCCCGTGCCAGGCCCTCCCCATCCTTCACATATTACTTCCCAATATCCCATCCACCCCTGGGAGTTTCTGCCCTCACCCATCCCCAAACATGACTCTTCTACCCCTCATATCAATCATTCAGCAGAAAATAGATAATACATCTTCTGCCTGAAACACAGAGCCAGGAAATCCTCCTGGGCTTCTAGTTGAGGAGCAACACACAGCAGAAAACATAACCAGACTTTTTGCTTCCATTTCTGCCTCAATTTGAGGCGTTTGTGGAGGCTGTGATGGGATCCCAGATCCTACCTGGACAACCCTCTGGTGGGTGGTAAGGACTGCATCCAGCTGCATTTTGGATCCCCTCTCCTCCAGGAGCAGCACCTCGTTGGTTCTGGTGGGCATGGCGTAGCTGCAGGGGCAGAGGGCAGGGCTTAGCACAGGCAGGACATGTGCAGGGATGAATCCTGTAAATATCCACCCTCCCCAGCACAGAAAAGGCAAGGAGATTAACTTTGCAGGGGAAATTAATGATGCAAAGGATGTATCTTGCAAACCAGGGGCTGGCAGAGGCTGGGTGTTTTGCTGGGAGGAGATAAGGAGGAAGCTCTGCCAGCAAAAACCTGGATTAGCACAAAAACCAGCCTGAGAACTTTTCACTTCTCCACAGCTCAAGAAAAGCAACAGTTGTGACTTATTTTGTCTTTTGGGACACAGTAAAATCTGCTGCTGCAAGGCACCATTTAAAATATGTTTGCACCTCAGATTTGGTGGGAATGTGACTGGGAGTGGATCAGACTCTGCTCAATGCTCAGAGACCTCAGCTTCCTCATCCCCACATCCAAGCTCCATCCTACTGTCCACCTTTTCCCCTCAATTCCCTGTCTGAAGGGCAAATCCTTTCTTTCTGTGCACACTGAGGCACCTCAGAGGGTACAAGGGAAAAGCACACACACTTTAGAGAGTCCCCACTGGTTTTATTCCAGAATAAATGAATGCTCTGACATTCCTCAGGCATTAAAGCCAGAGGGGTGGCTGCTGGAATTCTCCTGCTTTGGAGAACCAGGGTGCTGCTGGAGCATCCTCTCCCCCTAAACTGAAGCAGCTTTCCCAAGCTCATTCCAGTTCCAGGCATGCACAGCCTGGATCACAAACCATGACATGTCAGCAATTGCCAGCTCTGCACCCACAGGCTTAAAGCCTTTTCCTCAGAGGAAGGACATGTAACAGGCATTTTTTCCTTGGAATCTGCTCAAGTCAGTGCCTGAAAAATTCAGCGCTTCTAAATAAAGCATGCAAAATTGTACAGGTACACAAAAGGAGAACCCAGGGCAGGTGAGAGGTTTGGATTGACACCCAGATGGGGTGTCTGGTGTCTGGGAGACTGGAGTGTGCCCTGAGGTGCAGGGGCCCTGTTCCAGAGGGACAGGGGGACAGATTTCCCTTACCTCTCGTTGACCCGGACGCAGAGGCGGTTGCAGAGCCTGTGCACATACTGAGCAAAGTGCTCCACCAGGCACAGGTCATGGGAAGTCATCTGGATGTTGATGTCTCCATACTGGTGCTCATCTCCAGCACTGATCTCCTTCATCTGCACCTTCTCCTTCCTCCTCTTTGGCACCTGTTTTAGAAAGAAAACACAACAGGATAAAATAAAGAGTATCTGGTTTGAGCAATGCTGGAATAAAGGTGCAGCTCTTGGGTGGCCCCACACAGAAAACACACTCGTGCTTTGATTAATTTCTCCCAGGGGAAGAAAGAAAGGAGTAAAACCAGTAGAAATAAACCTGCTGTTCATTTCTGCCTAAAAGGCAGCTGACTTCTTATTGTTTCCTCCTGCCACAGAAATTGATGTCTTTGCAAGTCTCAGGGAGTGAGAAAATGTTCCACACAAGTGAGAGCTGCTCACCATATTCAGGTGTGAAATTGAACTATTAATTAACCTTAAATTGAATTATTAATTGCCCTCAGGAGGAGGTTCCTCCTTTCCAAAGCTCGAATGTGCTGGACAAAAGGAAGCATTTCTGCAGTGTGCTGAGTGGGTATTTCATGGAATAACTGGGATTAGGATGAACCTTAAATCTCATCCCATTCCAGTCCCCTGCCATGGGCAGGCACACCTTGCACTATCCCAAATTTCTCCAAACCCCATCCAGCCCAGCCCTCTGAGATGGGGCACCACATGCTTCAGGAACACCTTGGGAAGTCCCTCTGCCTACCTCCTGTGGGAGCAGGTACTTAAACCTCCCAATCCCATGGGTGGGTCGGGATCTGTAGGATCTGTGGGCAGCCAGGAGTGCATCACCTGAAAATGAAAGCAGAGCAAACTGTTTCCAGCTGCAAACAAATAGCTACAGGTGCTCTGAGAGCCCCAAATTATGGTCACATGACACCACCTGCTTAGCCAAAACAGGGCAAAAAAATAAGAAAAAGCTGGGAAAAAAACATATGGAAGTGGCAGACCACCTGCTCTGGTTAATTACCCAATCCAAAATTGGCTAAAAAACCCCCCAAAACAAAACACACATACTCCAACGTTTAATATTTATTTGAGGGAAGTGAATTTTTGCATCAAAACTAGATGGACAGCAGACCTTACCTGCAGCACACAGAAGGTTTTCTCTGGCTGTTGCTGCTCTGTAGAAAAAAAGATAATTAATAACTCTGATTTCTCTCATTTATGGAAAAATATGTGGCCAATGTCCTCTTGCGAAGGCACAGCCTGATCCCATCAGCACAGATTCCCCCTTTTCCCCAGCCCTTTCAGCTCCCAGCTCAAAGTCCTAACTCCAGCATCAGAAGATTTGGCAAAAAAAAAAAATAAAAGAACGGGAAAAAACATGCAATTTTTTGGTCATGTATGTTTTCTCACCTGCTGAGGGCCAACACCTGCCTGAGCAACGCTCCCTTCTCCGAGCACAGCACCTGCAGGGGTTAAAACACAGCAGGGTGGCAGATCTGCCGGGAATTTTATCCGGGTTACTGCACCTCTAGGACAGGACCCAGGCAAGGGCTGGAACTGTGTCTGGAGGGTTTAGGCGGAGACCAGGGAAAGGTTCTTCCCCAGGGGTGCTGGGCACAGCACCAGCCTGACCGAGCTCCAGGAGCGTTTGGACACCACTCCCAGGGACATAGCTGGATAGGCCATGAACAACCCTCGTGCTTGTCCCGCCTCCACACGGATGGAGGAACAGGCTCATCCATCGGGCAAAGAGCTTTGCTGTCGCTCTTGTGTCCCCGCGTCCTTCCCCGTTCCCGCTCCCCTTCCCCGTGGCCATCCCCGGTACCTTCGGCACCGCCGCCATCTTTCGGCGCCGCGGTCCGTCGCTTAAAGCGTTCCCCCTCAGTGCCTCGGTACGCCCGCATTCAGCCCCCCCAGTCCCGTGGCCCGCTCCTCACGTTCCGCCCACCGAGGCCTCCCGGGAATTCTAATTTTCGGACAGCTCCCCGCTCCGCCCACCGAGAATTCCCGCAGGCAACAACTTTTGGACAACCCGCGGTACTGGCGGGCCGCTGACATCCTGAAGGAGGCAGCGGGAAGGACGCGGGGGTGCGGGCAGTAATGGCGGACACCTCGTTCCTGCCTGCCAAAACGCGGTGGGCAGCGCCGCCGCGCGGCAGCGGCTGCACAGCGCACCCTGCCCTCCGCCTATCACCGCGCGTCCCGCCCCCCGCCCGTCCTCGCACACGGACTGGTTCCCAGCCACGTCCATCACGGCGCGGCGGCCATGTTGAGTGTGGCATGGCCACGTTGCAGGGCTGAGGGCGGTGCCCGGCCCCGCCCCAGCGTGGTGCGGCGGCCATCTTGAGTGTGGCGGCCCGGCGGCCATTAGGCCTTTGGTACGGCTGAAAAAAAAATATATTTATAATCACGAAATCCTAAGCGAAAGAAGGCTGGGCTGGCAGGGACCTCCACTCTGATTTCCCAGTGGGAGAGCAGGTGGGCAGGGGATCTGTCTGGGAGGAGATGGGCTTGTACTCTTCTGCCCGCCAGGCCTGACAGTCTGGAGTTGGCTCAGGGAAACACATCCTGTGTCTCACTGCCTCTTCCACACAAACTTTAATTTCCCACAGGTTCTTTTTCCTCCTCCTGGCTCCCCTGTGTGGAGGGGCTCCAGTTCCCCCTTCTTCCACAGCAGGTGCTCACTCTGGAGCCCACATATTGGAGCTGTTGCCTGCCTGTGAGCCGGATTTTGAGTCAGGATTTCCCTCCCTGCTGACTGCTGGCTGCTCCAACTCTCTCAGAGCTGTCAGAGCTCCTGATGGACTTTCCCCCTCAGCTCATCCACGTGGCAGGTTCATGTCCTGCTCTGTGACCCAGCCCTGTCCTGCATTGCTCAGTGTCCAGAGCTCCGGACACACACTGGGCACCCTCAATGTCCATCTGTCTGTGCTAGAGACAACAGAAGGAACGTGAAGGGACGAGCTTTGTGTCTGCACCTGCCCAGCAAATGGAAAGCACAGAGGAATCCATGGCACCTTTGCTCTTTGCCCCACAGTGCAAGGACACGTGTTCCCAGCTCTGAGCTGTGTTTTCCTGGCGCTCCCAGGACATGACAGAAGTGCCCACGTGGAAGTTTGCCTGCCCTTTGATCCCACCTGGCCTTGAGCACCACAATTAATGCAAGTGACTCCTAATTCCCTGCCCTCCAGTTCTGTGTGCCCCTGGAGTGGGACTGCACCCCTCAATTCCCTCTGCCCCTCCTGGGGACTCACCTTTGTTCCACCCCCAAAACGTGGCTGAGTGTGGGGCAGGGCAGGAACAGATTGCAGGGATTGCTGCTGTCCTCTGTGTCTCCGTGAGAAACGAGTCCACCTCTCCTGCAGTGAGGAATGTCTCTGCTATCCATCATAGGTGGATACATTTTAAGGCCAAAAGGGACTGTTAAATCAGGCAATTCACTCTCCTGCACATCACCCTGGATGGGGTTCCAGTGACTTATGGCTCTATGGAATGGATCACTCCTCTCCCCGTGAAACCATCTTTCTCACAAAGGCTGCCCTCCATTTTCCCTGGATACAAAGATAGTGCTGCTCTTGGCAGCTTGTTCTAGTAGCTGAACACCCTCTCTGTTAGGACACAGTCCTTAATTCCAACTGCAATGTGCCTTTCTTTGCCTTTTGCATCATTTCACATCCCTGTTGCAGGAGCACAACTTCCAAACCTGTTGTTATCATATTTCTAGAGTCCCATACCTTCTACCTCCACAGCTCTCAGGCTGCCACAGCTCCATCACATCAGGGGCACAGACTTCCTCCTCTGCTTACTGCTGCTACTTCTCAGCCAGGGCTCCTTCCAGGCTGTCCCTGCCTGGCCAAGCCCACCCCCTTTTATCCCAGCTACCTTCACCAGCCACAGCTGCAGCCCATCTAGAGCAACCGGGGCTCATCAGGGCAAGGCCCATACACAGATATTCAATATACAATACAGATATTTTACTGGGATTCTACTATACAAACCTTTTTGTGACATTTCCATGGAGAAGTTGAGGGGACTTGATGACTTCCTTTTCCTGCACCACACTTGAAAACTCCAGGAAGCTGCTTCTCCTGTTTAAGGTTTCCCATGCCTTGCTTCCACTTCTTTTCAGACTCATCCAATGATGAAAACAATCAAGAAGTGTTCAAACAGACCTCAGAAGAAAACCTCTGTTTCACGTGTCTCCTCCTCTGCCTTCAGCTGTTGTTTTCCCTGGGACTCATGGGAAAGATCCTGGAATGAACCATGACACAAAAACAAGGACAATATCTGTATTTAATATTTGAGATCCTGTCAGGCCAGGCTAGGTTCCCTTTTTCAGCCACACAACCAGTGTGGAAGCACTCCCAGATGCCAAGTGCAGAGCTGGATGGGAGATTCTGCTCATATCTATTAAAACTTGCTTAAATTTACTCACCTGATTAAAGACACATTTTTCTGTTTTAGTTCTCTGGTACTCCAAGGCCTGGGTGAAAAAACCCCAACCCTTGGTGAAGCAGTTCATCACATTGAGGGAATATAAATGAAAGGATCAAAAATAGAAAGACCTTCAAAACTAAACATGGAGCAGGATCCTTTTCCTTGACTATCAGAGCAGAGATGCTCTGGAACAATCTCCCACCCAAGGTTTAAACAGGAGGGGCGAGGATGCGCCTGGAAACCTCCTAAAACACCGAACTTTGAGGGCAGAGTGGAGGAAAATGGGCAAAAACTAGTGAAAGGCAAAGCGGGCCCCTCCAGCAAAAGGCGGAGGGCCCTGAGCCCCTGTCAAAGGATGGCAGTGGGGATCACTGGGAAATATCGCCTTGCTGTGAGGGACCTGCTCCCCAGAGATCTCCTCTGAAAGGAGAATCTGCGCCAGGGTAGGATTTTAAGCCTTTGCTTTTAAGGACTTTGCTGGTTGTCCCCTCACGCCCGTGCGGGCCGGGTACACCTTGCAGCCCTTACCCGGGCGCTGAGGATGTGAGGGCGGCGAGGCCCTGGCACTGCCCAGAGCAGCCCCTGGATCCCGGGCAGTGCCCAAGCACAGGGCTTGCAGCAGCCTGTGCCGGAGGAAGGTGTCCCTGCCCCCGGCAGGGGTGGCACTGGCAGATTGTCCGCGTCCCTCCCAGCCCGAACCATTCCCGGCCCGTAGCCGAGGGAAGCGCCCACAGCGCCTGCGCGGGGCGGGCGGAGCGCCGGCTCCGGGAGCGCGGGGGGGCGAGCGGCGGCACCGACACCGGCACCGACACCGATCACCGGCACCTCACCGGGGCTCGCAGCCTCCGCCGGGCAGGAGCAGGACGAGGGGAAGCGGCAGGAGGAGGCGGAGGCGGAGAGAAGCGGTCGCGGTCGCGGGTGCCGCCGCGGGGAGCGGAGCGAGCGCGGGGCGGCGGCGGCGGCTCCTCCATCATGTCGTCGGGCGGGGACTTCGGGAACCCGCTGCGGAAATTCAAGCTGGTGTTCCTGGGCGAGCAGAGCGGTGAGTCACCGCCCGCCGAGGGCCGGGACCCCAGAACGACACTGGCTGCCCTCGGGGGGCACGAAGGGACCCCCTCCTCATCCTCCCCGGCATCCTCAGGAGCGGCTCTGACACCCACCCGCCTTCATGGGGTCTGGTGGGATCTCCCTCCTCACCCTCATGGGGGCTGATGGGATCCCCCTCCTCACCCTTATGGGGGCTGATGGGATCCCCCTCCTCACCCTTCCTGACATCCACCCTCCCTCATGGGGTCTGGTGGGGTCCCCTTCCTCACCCTTCCTGACACCCACCTCCTCTTCAAGGGGTGTGATGGGATCCCCCTCCTCCTTGTCCCCTACATCCATCCACCCTCATGGGGTCTGATGGGATCCCGTTCCTCACCCTTATGGGGTGTGATGGGATCCCCCTCCTCATTCTCCCCGACACCCACCCACCCTCATGGGGTCTGACTGGGGACGCCCTCCTCATTCTCCCTGAAACCACCCACCCTCATGGGTTCTAATTGGGATCCCCCTCATTCTCCCTGACACCCACCCACTCTTATGGGATCTGATGGGATCCCCCTCCTCACCCTTCCTGACACCCACCCACCCTCATGGGATCTGATGGGATCCCCTCCTCAGGACACCCATCCTCTGTCATGAGATCCCTGCCACCCCCCCACCCTGGTGGGGCTCCGTGGGGTTCAGCCCTGCTTTAACCCCCCCACCCAGCAAAGCCCATCTGCAGGAGCAGTTGCTGATTCATTGGGTCCCGGCTCCTCTGGTTTTTGGGGGGCAGGAGTCTCGATCCGCAGCGTTTGCTGTGGGAATCCAGCGTTTTTCCATAATGGAGTTATGTCTTGGCAGAGCGACGCTCTGAATATTTAATTCAGTCAATGAGGTTTTCTTCCCTGTCTTTGGAATGAAAAAAAAAAAAAAAAAAAAAAAAAAAAAAAAAAAAAGCCCAACCTAAACAATGTCTCCTCCTGTCTCCTCCTTCCTCAGCGGAAGGCCTCTATCTCCAATGCTGCATTCCAAATTTTTCCCTTGGAAGAGTTTTCTGAAAAAAAAAAGAAAAAGAAAAAGCTCCTTTATGAGATGCTTTGTGCAATTCTGGGGATATACTGTGAGATCTATGACATAATGAATAGGTGCAAAATATTTTCTGTCTTGGGGTGGGGTATTTGCTCCCTCAGCCACCTTTGGTCTGTGTTGGTAGGAGATGATGAAATACTGGTTGGTTTAATTTTTTGGCTAAATTAGTTGTATCTTGGTGTTTCCTCACTCAGATGGTGATAAGGCTGCGGTTGAAATTATTTACCTGTGTGTTGGCAATTTTCTTTAGTCTGTTCCTTGAATCATTCCCTTTTTATTTTGTGGTTTTGGGGTTGAAACAGCTCTTCTCATATCAGGGATTTGGGGAGCACGAGTGCAACTTGATTATTTATTATTTTTTGGGTAAGTCACCTGATCTGTTTGGTAAGGTGCTATTCGGCCAGCCATTTTATGAGGATTTTGGATGAGGGTCATGTGTAGAAAATGCTGTTTGTTTTTTTTTTTTGTTTGGTTGGTATTTTTCCCAGGTATTTGATAACAGGAATCTGAAATATTTACAAAGGGCTGTGATGATTTCTGAGCTTCAGTACCACGAAGCTTTTCAAATCCATCCTTGGAAGGTTGTGGCACTTGGTGCAGACCTCAAACCTCAGCAGCTCTTCCTTCACACGTGGATTCCTTGTCTCCTCTAGCAGACATAACGTCAGATATCTGCTTCCTCTAGGAATTTTTTTCTTTTCCCTCTCAGCTAATCATGGAAGGTTTGAAATAATTCCCAGTCACAGCATGAAGCTCGGGGAGGAGAGGAGGGATTCTGTGGGTACAGCCCAGCGAAATCCTCCTGGCCCAGCACTCCCAGCCCTGCGTGTGCTGCCGGGGCTGGGGCTGGGGGCTGCCTGGGAGCTGCCTGGAGAGCAGGCAGGGCTGGCAGCTGCAGGGTGGGCTCCAGCCCTGCCCCTGCCTTTGTCTGGGCTGCCTCGGTGCCAGCTCGCTCCGTGGTGGCCGCGCATCCCGCGGGTGCTGCAGCGTGGGCATGCTCCGACACGGCTCCCTGAGCCTGCCTCCCTGAGACACGGCCCTTCCTCCCGGAGTGAAGCTCCTCACATGTCTCTGTCATGATGTCATTCCCTGTAATTTTTTATTTTTTTTTATTTCTTTAACTGCCCGGAGGATGCGGAGCTCTCCCGGAGGAATAGACGCCCTCGTGATGTTTGGAGAAAGCTGCGGGAGATTCTGGTGCTGCAGAAAGGGAGCTGGGGCGGGCTGTGCTCACACCTTGCTGTTCTTTGTCTGGAGGGTTAAGGGGGATGCAGAAATAAAAGTTTTTTAGGACAGAAGCTTTCCCAGCCCAGGAGATCTTTGTACAACTGTTGCGCTGGATTGCAGCCTTTGCTTCCTGTTCAGATGAAAGGTTCTGTGCCCTGTTGGAAGGCCATAATTAGAGATATGCTCTGGCTGCTGGTGGCAGGCTGAGTGCTCTGCCTTCCCTTACATCCAGGGCCTTCAGGATGACAAATGAAATGGTACAAAGGTCTGTGATGGCCATTAGCTGCCTCAGCATCCAGAGCTGTGCTGGCTGTACACGGCCTCGCCAATAAACATGTGTCTCGAGGCTGAGGAAATCTGAGCTGCAGCTCCTTGCTGGGCAGCCTTTGCAGCCCTTCCTTGGCAGATCTAGAAGCATCCCTGGGTGTTTCATTTCTGTGTGAGGGTGGGATTGCCCGTGCACGCAGTGTGAGGTTGGCTCTGCTCTCCTCAGCCATGTTGTGGGAGTTCGGTGCCGTATCCTCAGCGTTCACAGGGACTGCAGTGCCTCTGCCTCGTGCCCTTCAGCACCGCTGCAGATGCTCTTTCCCCTGCTAAGGTGCTGCTTTTCCCTGCTCCTCAGTCCCCCAGATCTCCTTGTCCCTGGGGCTTGTGGCCCCCTCGCCCCTCCCAGGCCCAGCTGGGGCCTCGCTGCGTGCGCTGTGGGTGCATCACGAGCCTGCAGCATCATCCCTGCCCAGCCAGAGGAATCCTCTCCTCCCTTCCCATCCCTGTTTTTGCTAACTTCTGCAGGGATACAGCATTGGCTGGCTAGGAGAAGGCAACTTCACCAGCACTCTCCTTAATTGAATTACTTTTCTCAATGATTGAAGATTATACAGAGTTTAGCAGTTTTAAATATGCTAATCTTTGCTAAAAAGGCAGGGAGAGCTCTCAGTGCTGAGGGATTAGATAGAGCTATTGTGTGTGGGGAAGTATGTTTCTTACTGCCTTTGATCTGGTTTTATCAGGTGGTTTTCATCAGTCCTAACACCTCAAGTTTAAGGAATTCTGATTTCTGGGTCACGTCAGGGAGTGGACACTTCACCTACATTGGGGTGGCTTGCAGTAAATATGACACATATTCAAATATTAATAACCTCTTTGGTTCTGCTTTGCATAGGAACACCTCTACTTGTTAATAAATGGATTTTTTTTTTTTTATTGAGTGGGCAGAAGTGAATGCTGGGGCACTGCAACAGAAATATTTGTTTGTCACGTGAGTTTCTACTGCAGCTTTCATTGGCAAGCAGGTCTGAAGGGCACCAACGTGTACAGAAAGCACAAGAACTCCCAGCTGTCTCTCTGTGCCAGCATTTCTGCAGAAGATCTTGAAGGAAATTAGAACCAGTTGCATTTGGGGTTTTTTTAATCAGGAGCTGAGATTTTTAATATTGAAAGCCAGTGCTAAGTGCAGTGTAATAACTTTGGAGATGTAGCAGTTTGGAAAGCACTAATGAGCTGTTGTGTTGCATAACGCTGTTGGTCCAGGCACTGCTGAGCAGCGTGATGTGGCTCATTGGATCACTGGGGAGCTGCAGGTGCTCTGTGTGTGACGTGGGGCTGCTGTGGCCCTGCTCACAGCTGGCACACACTGCTCCCTGTGCTGCCTAAAACTCCCTTGTTTTAAGGGATTCTCAGTTTCACAAACCCCAGAGGGTGTTACCTTGTCGCACTGGTGGTTTAAAGGCTTATCCCCTCCCCTCCGGGTAATTTCCCAACCCTGTGGTTTTCCTGTGGCTGGGCCTTCAGATACTTGGGGTTCTCTTTGGACTGGCTGAATTTTCCATGAGTCTCTTAACTTGGGCTTCACATCTGGAAATGGAACATCAGCAGCGCATCCCAACCAAGGGGGAGTCAGGCAGGAACACCAGGAGGGCTGCATGGATGAACAAGGAACTCCTGGGCAAGCTCAAACCCAGAATGGAAGCCTGGGAGGGTGGAAGTGGGGGCAGGTTGCACAGAAATTGTCTGAGCAGCCAGAGATCAGGTTAGGAAACCCAAAGCCCTGATAGAATTCAACCTGGCCAGTCATCTGGGGCAGCAAGAAAAGCTTCTGTGGCGATAAAGGAAAAGTGTGGGGTCTCTGCAGAAGGAAGCAGGAGGTCTGGTTACCCCAGGAGAAGGCTGAGGCACTCAGTGACTTCCTGTGCCTCGATTTTCACCTGTGTTCCTCAGGGCTCAGCCATGGGATCAGCACTGTGGAACATCTGCACTGGTGACAGGTCCCTTCCCACCCAAACTGTTCTGGGATTCTTTCACAGTGCAGTGTGCTTGGTGTCTGATCCTTCAAGATCTTGAGCTCCACCATTTCTCTTCTTTCTCTTCTCCATCCCTGAAAAATCCCTCCCTGCAGCAACGTGTGCAAGGAGCACAGAGAAAAAGCCATCAGTGTTTTGTGGTGCCTGTTCTCACGGTGCCTTTTGATCCCTGGCTATTTGTGGAAGCCTCTGAAGGAGCTGTGTCTGTTCTTGAAAGGAGGAGTAGCTGTGCCTTGCTGAACTCTGCTGTGCTTTTCTCTCTCTGTGCATCTCAGAAATAATCTGTGAGCTGGAAGGAAAATGATCATCCTTTCCCTTGATGTGCCATAATGGATTTTCTATCTGCAGCTCTCGGGGTGCTGGTGGTACCTGGCACGGGACCCAGGCTCTGCAGAGC